GGTCACTAGGCAGAATCTCTGGTTCACCGGGTTAAGCTGAATTTGGGAGTAACCACACGATTTGACTCTTTGAGCTACCAGATGGTGTACAGGCATCATTAGGATGCTTGTTTCAGAATTTTGCAATCAATGTAGCAAAGCAAAACAAGCTTTCAAATATTCAAGTCAGCAAGTTTAATACCAGAAGCTAACTATTTTGTCAACAGTACATGATGCAACCACTAAAAGATAAAACAACTGCAGGAAAGAAGGTTAATTAATGGTATAAATACAGTCGAAAACCAGGGTTACACAGTGCATCTCCAGCACATGAGAAAAAAAAATAAAATTCATTGTGTGATACAATCCCCATGGGAGAGTAGTAAGAACAACAGCACACACACACTCTTCACTCACATACTCGATTGCCTGTTTCGACAGAAGAGGAGCACTTTATAAAAACCACTATCAAAAGGATGACATGTTTCGGAGCTCTTTGGAACAGATGGGACTAATCTCTTGCTGCTCTGCAGAAATACTAAGTTGGTAGCCCATATTTAGGATTGGGACCCAGGACCCCTGTTTAACATGGACATGAAAAACATTCACAGTTGCAAATACCAGGTAGGAGGAGTGAGCTGAATCAGAAAGGTTCTCTCTAGCTAACAAGTCTAAATGTAGTTATTGCAGTATGGAGCCATTTACACCACACCTTTAGAGTAGAACTGACAGCTCCTATTGTAAACCACCAATGGGTTCTTTAGACATTTAAGGGAACAAGCCAAGATATATATATATATTTCTTTGTTTTTAAAAAAAAAAAAAACAAAACCTGTGATATTATTTATAATAACAAAGCTCTGCCTCTCTGCCTGTCTCATGACAAACATACAGGGCAAGTGTAGCAATAGGAAGCAGCCACCTACACAGCTGAGTGCTTTGTCAGAGACACAAAGGGTTCTGTGAACTTGAAGCATTCAGCAGCTCTCCCCCACCATCACTGGGGGAGGGAGGAGGAGGCTTTTTTATTTCAACCAAGTGTTATTCACAGCTGGATGAAGACAAGAAAATGCGTCTTCTTTACAAGCTCTTTTCCTTTCCATGTGTGGGTAAGTTAACCATCAGCAGGGACAAGCCTATGAAATCAGTTAATTTAGAGAAGAGCTACAAGAGCAGTCTGCAATAAACAAAGGTTCACTTGATACTCTCTGAACTTATTCAGCATTTATATGACACCGTTATCAGCCTGCCAACACCTCAGAATTAACTTTTGATGTCATCTGTGAGAAGAAGTGACCCTATGAAAAATTAATGTGCTGGAGCACTGGGTTAGAGTTGTGCAATTCATGTTCTGGACTTTAAACAAGCTTCTGCTATCAAGAGATCAGATGAGGTGAAAGCTCCGAAGCAGGAAAAATATTTATATAGCACTACAAAATTAGAGAATTACTCTCATTCTGCTGGGAAAAGGAACGGAGAATCTGCAACCCATCAGCTGAAACCAATGCTACACTGCTCAAAAACACTCCTACATTCCCAAAACAGACATATATTCATCATCTGCCAAGGAAAATAAGCCCACATTTATGTGCTCACATGACCCACCATTACTGACGATTCCATTATCATTGTGCTTCAAGTTGTGTTTCAAGCTTCAGTGCATTCACAGTGGTTATCAATGGTAAAAGTTAAATGCAATGCGAAAGAAAACAAAAAAAACCACTTATACCCCCATCTGATCTTTGGTTGCCAGAGTCATTTGTGGACAGCACACTAGTTACTACCTACAGAGTGCTGACTCAAGAGATTGTTCCCTTAAATTCAGACTATAAATGTCACACTAAGTTGCAAAGATGATCTTTGATACACCTGGATGCACAGCATGACTAAATACCACTACCAGATGTCATCTTTGGCATTTCTAGCACTACAATGCCAGCAAAACACAAGTCTCCTTTCCCCTTCGGTCTTGCTGGCCATCGAGACAGTAACTGTTCTGACAGAAGTACATATTGACAGCTGTGTAGCAATACAGCACAAAGGTGGTAATGCACCGCATTAAGATTTAGATATGTCATTTATCTGTCTGTAATCACTGGGACACTGCCTGATCACTGTTCCAAGTATGTACGCACTCTGGAAGTCAACTGAGTCTTCTGCATCCCTCAAGCATCATGCAAACTTAGTGTCACTGCAGACAGATTTTTAAAAGCCTGTAAGAGCCGGCGGTAAGCAGAATTTCTCAGATTTAAGACTACAACAGGATACCAGCTATGTGGACTTGTCACCTAATTTGGTACACTCCTTTTTTTCCTGGGGGAAAAACAAAAACAAAAAAAACCAGAAGGGTTTCAAGGATTTCAAGCACTAGACTCAAGCTGAAATCAGCCACAGACCTCATGAATGTGTAGGAGAGGTCTCTGGCTCAGGTGTGCTTTAGTGTGTTCAAATTCAGGAGCAGGTTAAACTGTCCATATAGATGCTACTCTGAATTCCTGCCAACAAGAACTCTAGACAAAAACAACATTTCCAGTATTTGAGTTTTTAATGCTATGATGCAAGTGGATGTTCTCCTGGGCTCCCGTATGGACAGAAAGTTGCATCTTATTACTCCAACACAAAGAACAACTTGCTAATGTCTTCTGCACAGAAAAAACCTTGAGCTGCAGGTCTGTCCCTAGGAGCTTGGTCCTTCCATGGGTTGCGCTCCCAGTTCAGTAACTGGGAATCTCACTAACAAGACCAGGCCAGGCCTACATAAACAGTAAAAAAATCTGAGAGATCCATCGGAATGGCTCCCGACTGATGTGAGAGGCTGAGCACAACACACTTTGACTAAACAAAACCACAGCAAAACTCAAGGGAGGAAAGAGGGAACTTTTAAATTCAATTTCAGCCTGGATAAAAATACCACAGTGGTTTTGCCTCAGTGGCCATGCATGGCTAGAGGCTTTCCACTCACCTAACAATTGGGAGACAGCTGTGGTCTTCAGAGAAAGAAATATTTCTACAGATTCACATGAAAAACATACCCAGCAGGATGGATGGTAAGATGAACAACTCTTAAATGACCCAACAGATTAGCAGCTGCCTTAATATCATGTACACAGCAGGGACGAGAACAAGTGCTGTTTAATTGCTAACAGGTCATATGCCAATTCACGTGACAAGAAAGAACAAATCCAGAGATCAAGCACTACCGGAACCACCACTCACATCTGATTAGCCCCCCAAACAAGTCCATGTCACACCACTCACGTACAGGCTGCAGGACAAGAAAAGCTCCTGGGGTATTTAGTTTTCACATGGAACTTGTACGTTTTCATTTTAGACACCAGGCATCTTCAGAACAACCCAAAGGAACAAGCCCAGTGTTTTGATTCCACAGGGCAGTACTACTGCAGGTGACTGGTCACAAATGTTACAAAGCTTCTTTTTGATCAGACAGAATCTCAGGTGCTAAAGTTGAAACTTAAGTATTTCAAAAATTAGTGCATTTTCAGATCTTTCCAGGGTATTTTCTGGCCAAGAGACTAAGGCATTTATGTTTTTGGAAAAATTAGCAAGTGAAGGTTTTGTCCAGTGTGCAAAACTTTTATTTGGGAAGAATTACAAACAGCTGCTTTTGATCTCCGCTTGGTACTTTTTAGAAATGCACAGAAGACACAGGAATGGATTTCAGGGACTTTCTTCCTTTCCCAAAATCCCAGGCTTTTGTAACAGTTTATAGGTCTCACATAACTTTCAAACCCACTGACAGAAAGGAGATAGTCCTAACAAAATGCAACAAACATTTGGGAGTCACAGGGACCAGGATGGTAGCAAAAGCACTAACACACATGGGCATACCTGGTCAGTTTTGGCTGTCTCAGGCCCACAGATGCTGCTTAGATGACAGCAGTACACTTCCTCCCCACTTTTGTACTTCCAAAGTCTCAGAGTTGAGTCCTGGTCAGATAGAAGCAGACACAAGTTGATTACTAACAGCACCTCAGGCAGGGAGCCCACTCATGGTCTTCAGTTACATCTATTTCCCTGAAGACCTTCCCACAGAAGCTGCTGAACAGTCACTTAGTTAAGACCTCAAACTGCAGATAAAGCATTTTAATTAACATAATTCTTCCCCTCAATTCTAAATTATTCAATCATGCTAACTTTAATTCTCCTTTTGAAGTGGAAATTGGGTAGCTGGAGGAGAGCATTTTGAGTCTGTCTCAAATAACACAGTAATACATGTACTCGGCATTATAATGGCAATCTTTTAGGTTGCCCTTCTCCACCTCTACTCTTGTTATCACCTGAATTCTCATTTGATTTAGTAACCTCCTAGAGAGAAGCTAAACACCTCTCTGGAAAAACAGAGTCATCAAAGAGTGTTTGCTAAGAATGAAATACAGCCGCACATGCCACTAACACTGGAGTTGCTTAAAGAATTAGAAGAACAAGAGCCAAGAGTGTTAGGGAAGCAAGAGCAGCAGCTGGAACAGAATGCTAAGAATTACTGCAATTAAAACATCTTCACCAAAAACATTGTTTCCTATGCAATTTTGGTAGTCTGGGAAACAATAATATTGTTTCCCTTCTTTTAGACCAACTCCATCTACTCACTCTGTACAGGTCTGGCATGATAGCAACATGTAATCAATTTAAGAAAAGGGCTGGTGGGGAGGGAAAGGAGCAACCACTCACTTCTTCAGTCCTCATCCAAGCATTGTGTAGCACTGCAATCTCTACACAACATGCACTAGATATACTACGAGGCCATACAGACAAGGACATAACTCTGAACAAGTCTCACAGGGGAAAGCAAGTGGGAGGGTGAAGATGGAACAATTTTCTCATCTCAAAAGCTCTAAAAAAAAAAAAATCAGTGATTCTAAGGCTATTATTAGTCTCAAGACACTCATTGTCACAGCAGGCTGGCATAATACTCATTTGCTTCAAAGTTGTTTAAAAGTTCAATGATTAAAGTTTGTCTGGGCTCCAAAGCAAGAGTTAATGATGAAGAAATACTGAGGACTTCACGAGTTCTCCATCCCAAAGACCTTAATAGGAAGCTAGCCTTGCTATAAACACAGTAAGCAGCTCTTACATGGTCTAGCAACAGAATGGCTGAACACTGAACAGAATTCTGAGGAAGTGGGGGAAGCAGGGAGAGAGAGGACATGCTGGAAACCATGAGAGTTTATTCCAAGTATCCCAAGGAATTTGGGTGAAACACAAGCAAACAATGGTTTTAAAGTCTATATTTTAAAGAAAAATACTTTTTTTGAAGAAATTGCAATACATACCCCAGAAGCTGACAACAGCAGATCAGGATAGTTGGGTATTACAAGTATTTTGCTTACAAACCTAAAGGCAAAGTAGTCAAAAGTTGAACTCTCTTACATGACACTCTGGTCTTTAAACATTCACAGTAAGAGAAAACACCAATTTTAAAGATAACCTTATAACATACAAACAAACAGATTCTCCACATCAAGACAATTAAGAGTAAGAATAAAGTATGTCTACAGTACTTAATACAGTATATACACTAGACAAACTACTGACCTTCTACTTAGTAGAAAAAAATATTTCCCCATCTGCACTCAGGCAATTTTACAATGGCTTCCTCTGACTGAGAACATTGCCATTTAGGCCAAAAAATGCCAATGGAGACAAATTTCCTCCGGTAGTGTGTTTAGCTTTCTCAGCTCATGATGCACATTAAAAACATTAATCAACAGATGCTTTTAAAAGACAACAGTGATGACTCTGCTTTCAGAGTATCATATCTCTCCCATCCCAGTTGGGGATCATTCAAAAGCAATCTTTACAAAATTTTAAAACAAGCATGCAGCAATTTACCACCAATTTCTACATTCAGACAGAAACCTTGTTTTTCAGAAGTATGCAATACTGCTATGTCTACCATGACGTGGCTTTATTGAGTAATAGGGACCTGAACTTCAGGAGTTTGCCATTATCCGAATGCTCAGGAACTTAAACTTAGTGACCTAAGCAGAACATAATCTGAGAGGGACAGTCTTGCTTTTGAAAACAAGCATAATTTTAAGGCCATTAAAAAAAAAAAAAGGAAAAAAATAGAAGGAAGAGATTTTGTCACTGCAATACAAACTTTCATGACAAAGCAGTAATGGCAGGTGCATGCAGACATAACAGATCCAGCAAGAATCACCATGCACCCCACTGAAAGAACAAAATCTAGGAGTGTGAAACAAGACAACAATTACAGCTGCTTTATGTAATTCTTTGCTTATTCATTCCTAATTTAAACATTGAATTTTAAAATATATTTCAATCCATTTACAGAAGTACCTTTCCACTCTGCAGCCACTAATGAACTCTGTGCAGACACAATAGCCCCTGTTTAAAAGTGTCTGACCATCAAGTTCTATTCATCAGAAAGTACAACTGTGTGGAAACATCAGATATGGCTCTGTAAATATGCTATAGAAACTGACCTGATCAAAGACTACTTAGATCCTTAACATTAGTAGTCTCTTGGTTTTACACTATGTCAATTCTACACAGGTTAGACTACCAAATTATGTTATTAAAATCAGACTGACACTCCAAATTATTCTGTGTCCTAAATGCTCTGTTAGAACACCTTGGTGGGGAAGTTTAGATAGGTTGATACCCATATCTCAAGCTCCCCAGTCACACAGTCTTTCTTTAACTCTTGCTTCTGATCAAGTGAGTTGACTACACCATATCGCATCATGTCACGGAAGAACGTGCCTGGAAGAGTGTTGCTGTCCCCAGGTAACTCTGTGGACAGACAAGCACAATTACATTCTCTGCCCTATTGCAGGGTCACATCTTCTCTGCTACCTTGTCACTGTGGACTTCAAAACATAGCAGCTGCCACACAAAAAAAAAGTGCCTCGCGCAACCCCCCTACCCTACTCAAAACCTCTAACAACCAACAACCACAAAAAACCTCCAAAAGCCCACAAAACCACATAGAGGTGGAAGGCAAAGTCAAGAGACTTTGAAAATACCACAACTGACAGATACTTAAGCAGCAAAATGTAGAGGCAAAAGTCTTTTAAAAGTTAATTTGTGATTTGAGTCTTCTTCATGGGAAAAGGGCTACTGAGAAAGGAAGGTACAGTCCCCCTGTAGGCTGAAGTCTTGATAAATCATCGCTAGAAAACAACCCTTATTCCTATACAAAAAAACCTGCCGGTCTCCTAGCAAGTCAGAGCACATCTCAATCACATCACTGTAGCGAGCAGGTCACTTTGCTGCCTTCCACTCTTCAAGAGCACTGAAATTAGAAGGACCTTCAATTCAGGATGGAGAAGACAGGAAAGGAAGGGAAAGATCGTTTATTTCCAATTTTTATACAGAGCGAACCCTGCATTTTACTAGACAATAACACAGCAGCACATCATCTTTCTACAGGGATATTCCCTATGATCCACCTTCCACAGATCCTCCCACTTGCCTAAGCTTTCTTGCCCACAGCAATAGAATTAATGTCAAGAAAAGCACCAAGTCCCTTTTCTCAGCTACTAGAAAGGCCAGGAAACTACATAAAGAAGCATGATTCCTTGAATCTATTTTATGGGACCATTTTTGCAGCCTCTAGCTTGCTGCAGTCTAATGTCCAGGCAGAAAAAGTGTTCTATCCTTCCCATTGATACAGATGCATTTTTTTTGTATTACCACAGAACCTCCAAGTCTGAGCTCTCCATTAATATGCCATTAGATTAGCGTCTGTTCAAACCATAAAGACTTCTTAAGACTTCCCTTCCTAAGGCTAAGGTAGGCTCCATCCTAAACTAACAATCTCCAGGCTCTGGAGTCTCTTGCAGACAGCAGGTTGAAGGAGGCAATTCTCCCCTTCTGCTCTGGTGAGACCCCACCTGGAGTATTGCATCCAGCTCTTAAGTCCTCAGCACAGGAAAGACATGGACCTGTTGGAGCAAGTCAAGAGGAGTGCCATGACGCTAGTCAGAGGGCTGAAGCACCTCCCATACAAGGACAGGCTGAAAGAGTTGGGATTGTTTAGCCTAGAGAAGAGAAGGCTCCAGGGAGACCTTACTGTGGCCCTTCAACACTTAAAGGGGGCTTATAAGAAAGATGGGGATAGACTTTTTACAAGGACCTGTTGCAGCAGTACAAGGGGTAATGCTTTTAAACTAAAATAAAGTAGATTCAGACTAGATATTAAAGAAGAAATTTTTTACAGTGAGGGTGGTGAAACACTGGAACAGGTTGCCCAGAGAACCTATGGATGCCCCATCCCTGGAGGTGTTCAAGGCCAGGCTGAATGAGGCTTTGGGCAACCTGATCTAGTTGAAGATGTCCTTGCTCACTGCAGCAGGGCTGGACTAGATGACTTTTAAAGGTCCCTTACAACCCAAACCATCCTATGATTCTAACAGACACAGCTGGTATTTAATATGATTTGAGGATTCTAATAATTTCATCCACTGAGGCACACTGAAGAGCTGCACACAGTACCTTTTGCACAAAAGAAACTTACTCTGTGTGTCCCAGACAGTAGGATACAATACAATAAGGAGCTTTTGCAAAGCTGACTCTGATCTTCTCATCTCTGTCTGCAGTTACGATATACCGGTCATCAGGACTAAGCACCTGTCGGTAAAGGGAGAGTTTTAGTTCAATGTTTGCTTTAATATAATTCTTCCTAACCAGGAGAAAAAAACATAAGCAGTAAACTGTTTCTCCTGACTCTGAATGGCACGTGCAAACATTAAGCCACACTTTTCCACCAACAGTGGAAGCATAAATCTTTATGTCAGTAACTTTCTTGCAAGTGACACTGACTACTGGGTCCAGTGAAAGCCACTAAGCTCCAGCAGTACAGTCCTAGTGTGTCTTAATAAGAAACTTATCATATTGAAGAGCTCAACCGACATGACAGACTGGGTGAATTCCCATATACATTCCATCACTAAGTCTTCTGTGACTGTAACATGGGGACTTTTTGAATGCTCACACTCCCAGAACACATAACCCTTCAGTAAGCTTGTTTCCCTACCAAACTCTGCAGACACAAACTCAGTAAGAAGAAAACCAGACCACATGCTTCATTTATATAAAAACATAACTCTCAAATCTGGTGCAAGAGCAACAACGAAAGACCCAAACACAACCAAGAATGCAAGTTTGTACACTTACTACATGGAGGCACATACATACCACATCCAGTAGCAGAGACAAGTGACCCAGCTCAAGTTTTCCATCTGCTTGGGGTTCTGCTATTGAGTAAGAATAGACATCACCAGACTTGTCCGCAACCAGAATCTTATCCTCTGCAGCTGTAATAGTCAGGGCAGTACATCTCCTGTTCACAGACCTGAAAGAAAAAAAACAAGGTATGAACAGCTCTGGATGGCAGTTTCAGCAAGTCTAGATTCAGGCCCTGTTAAATAGGCCAAGAGACTGGACAAAAAGCTCTCTGATGCAACATTCTTGAAATGGCAGCAATGAGAATAATGTTAAGGGATGGCATGGGGCTGAAAGAGCACTTTTGAGATCTATTAAATTACTAAACTATGTAAGAGCAAACACCTGGCAGGTAGGAGAAAAAAAAGGAGAGACCATTAAAGCTGCATGCCTGCATTTTCCTTAGATGCTTTCTCAACTGAGCATCCTGCCTAGGCAGCCTGCCAGTACTCTACAAAAAGCTGGTAGACTTTCTTTAACTTGTGTTTTTATTACAGAGAGTGCAACACATAGAAAAGAGAAGACAAGGTAGGAGTTTTCCTAGTACAAGTCCCTTGCAGCAACACATATAAAAACTGTGTTGAAACTACTTCTCCAGTTGCCACTTTGTACTGTAAAAGCTCACCTTCCCTGTGAGCTTCAAGGACTCTTCCTACTCACATCCAGAGTCAGAGAATCAGAGTCTCAGGGTACCTTGTCCAGGCAGAGCCCTGAACTTGAACTTTGTCTTTCCCTCAATCTGCCAGCGTCTTATAGTTTCAGTTGCCAGTGTAGCAAGTAACAGTTTTCTTACAACTTTTCAGATAAATGTAAGGACTGTATATGTCAGAAAACAAGTTTTAAAAAAGGTTTAATCACTTAGTCTGGAGAATGCTTCTGCACTTCACACGTATTGTTATTACTGTTATTCTTTTCCTTTCATATCACCTCTTTTCCAAACCCTTCTATGTGCGTGTGTGTACACACAGGACTGCGGACACTGGGGATCATAGGAAATGGACATTTCTATACACCTACTCTGAAATTCGGTGACTGGAGGCAAAAGAACAACATACTGTACTTCAGGCAGGAAGAAAGAAATCCTAATACTTTTTAGTGACTGTTTAAAGCAACACTGTAAGAATGGGAAAATGTATAGGACATGAATGCCTACTAACACATTGTAGGCTCAGGCAGCACGGTTTCAAAACAGGTTACCGTTCAAACCAGAAAAAGCTTGCTCCAAGTTCACTGTACTGCCTTTGATGTTAAATGCAAAGATTCAAAAGTTCCCCTTGTCTGAAATGAGCCGACTACAAAAGCTAGCACCGCATGAAACTTTTTGTACACCTTGCCACAAAACACTGATGCAAGTTACATAGCTCAACTTTGGCATTCTTTTTTTCATGTAGAGACTCTTTTGACTGTATTCTTAATTTCCTAACAGGAGGTAGTGACACTCCCATAAAATCCAGCTGCTGTCATAGCTAATCTTTTAGCAAAAAACTGAAACATCAGACAGTCATCGATGGCATATTACAGACAAGACATACAGGGCAGGGCAGCAAGGAAGACAGAATGCAGAAGGAACAAAATTTGCCATTTCTGGTTTTGTTGGTGATTACTTACTACAACACTGGGTAACCCACCAAAGGTCAACAATGTACCCTACACACACAGCCGAGCTAACAGAGGCTTCATTTTTTTTTGCAAGCAGGGTCTCACATTTGTCAGAGACCACCAGAAGAGACATCACATGAAGAGGTACTTTCCCAAGAAGTCCTTCATGGTCCTCTTTTACAGACAATTGTCACAAGGAGCAGCAGAAAACTTGTCACCGGAGGACCTCTGGTGGACAGCTACAGCCCGTTTTCTCAAAAGGACCATACTACAGAAGGGAAATAGTCGGCAGCTTCTCTAAAGATATGCTCTCTTAAAAGAGTTCACAAACTCCCCACAACACCTTTCTCCTCCAAATCAACAGAAACAGACAGTGCACTCACTAAACTGCTCAGTATTGCTCTTACAGGCCCAACCTTAGTGTTCACTAGGAGTGGGTGAAGTTTCAGTTCTTGAAGATGCAAATACTGTCTTTTGGAAGAAGAAAAGAGATTGTCTTTTCCTTGGCTAATGATATCAACATCTGCAATTCCACTCTTAATGGGGGGCATACCACACATCACTTCCTGACAAATGTCTCTGAATTCACAAGAACATTAAATATGCTTAAGCAAGTCCAAAAAAAAAAAAAAGTAACTTGTCAATAACAAATGGCAACTTCGCAAGTACTACTATTTTATTACTCTGAAGTAATCAGACATAACTCCATAATAAAGTGACATGTAACATCCTGCTTCCTTACCTGATGCTAATACATTCCCAGGATGGCTTTGTATGGAACAGAATCAGACGTTTGCTGTCATCTGTCAAGGCAAAATAATCTCCTGATGGGGAGAAGGCAAAAGCTAGGATATCATCACTTCCTTTATCTGCTGGTTTTCCATCCTGTCTAATAGAGAGAAGGGGAACAACAGTTCACAACCTGAGAGTTACTGAAATCCTTAAGAAGAGAAGGTCCTTCCACCAAGAAGGACCATGAAGAACAAAGTACAATGCTAGAAGTTTTATATGTGCTTAAAATGTTGAGCCAACTTGAACACTAATGCAAAGAAAAAAAGGCAAGGAAAAGGAAACTGATATAAGGTCTAAGCCTGTATCATTACCTGTGTAAAGAAAAAAAAAAAAAAAGGCTAGGGTTTGTGCTAGCAGATCTTGATATAAATTTAGGGGAAAACAGAATTGGCTACAGGTAAAACATTACCCAGAGGCTGAATTTAGACTAAGAAAGACTTACAGTTTTTGAAACCTCATTACTTAGACCTGAAGGAGGAGTTGTGTATTTGTTGTTTTTCTGACTGTATTAGACAGTGCCATAAAAAACACAGCATTTTTCCATTTATGCCTTGACCAAGAAGAGTTGCACACAATGACTTATGCTACTGGTGCCTTTCTAAAAAAGAAAAAGGTGTAGAATCTCCCCTCTGGGATGAAACAGAAACAAAAACATACATATATACATACCTATCCAGCAGGGTTAGCAAAAAACACTTGGCCAGCACCTGATCAAGGAATCATACCATGACTTTCTTTTATTATCTTCGCTGCCACATAACCTCAGGAGGCGATGCACCCTCAAGAAAAACAGCAGATTGCCTAAGTAAATTTTCTCACCCTTTATTTCCTAAGGTCGTCTTCTCCGCACTGATGCAATCATACACAAAGAGACTATCATCACTAAAAAAACAAAACAAAACAAAACACCAAACAGATTAAACCCGTTGGAACTAGAACCATGAGCTCAACCACAAAAAGTATCAACTCTCCTGCAACATGCTATTATTTCGTGGCTATTTGCACAACTAACCCCCATCCCGAGGAACCACCCCTGCGAAATGGGCTCCAAAAGCGCTACAGGTGCAGTAGATGTTTAAGACCTTGGACTGTACACAAATTGTCATCTGTTGGCAAAGGAACTGTGACATTTAACTCCTGTCAGGCTTGACATACTTGCCACACTCGCCACTAGCACTCACCCTGTTGTTCACGTACCAGTGACGCGCAACCGGTGGTGCACAACCGGGCCAGAAAACCTTCAAGAACAGAAACCTTCAAAGCCACCCTGGGCAGCAGAAGCGCACACACGGAGCGCCCGGAGGCCTGTGCTCGGCTCTGCGGGGCTCTCCTGCGAGGTGGGCCCAGGCAGAGCC